CAGAGGTGAGACTGACTGGCCTGTCCCGGGTCCTCTGTTTTCTGGTTTTTAAAGATCGGGGTTATGTTTTCCCTTTTCCAGTCAGCGGGAACTTCACCAGACTGCCATGACTTTTCAAATATGATGGAGAGAGGTTTAGCAACTGCATCTGCCAATGAGCCCAATTAGACAAACGTATTTGGGGGATTGGATAGAATAGGCCAGGCAAGCTTTTTTTCCTTTTCCTCTCTGTTAAAAGCATCATAGATGGAGTCTTTGGTGACAGTTTTGGCCGGAGCTGGGATTTCTGCAATCCCAACGTGATTTTTTTTGGCTAGCCTGGAACTGGTGGTGATGGTGTAGGCGTTGCTTCTGTAGCATTTCATGGCAGACATGCAGAAAGTCTCTTTCATCCCTCTTCTGAAGTTGGCATTATAGATGGAGTAGAGGGTTGGCTTAGAGGCAGAAGAACTGAAGGAGATCCAGATGATGACCAGGAAAAGCAAGGAGCTGCTTCTGTAGTCTGTCTCCTGCGGGTGCCACAGCTGCGCCACGTAATAAGGGAGCCAGGACAGGAGAAACACCAAGTTCAATGCTAAGAACATCTTGATGGTTTTCACTTTTGTTCTTGGGACAATATTCATCGTCCTCCTGACAGTCCTGCCATCGGTGCCTATTCTCCAAATGTACTTGATGACTTTCTGGTAGAAGAGGATAATGAGGAGGGACGGGATCACAAACACCACCGAGAGGTGAATGCTACCATAGACAGCTCCTTCCCAAGAATCAGGGAGAAAAAAGTTGCAATGGTGGTGGCTGTTGGAGCTGTAGAAAAAGAAAGTGGGGGATGCCAACACAGCGTTAAATAGCCAAGAGGCCAGGATCATTTTCTTGGCTTTCTCCCTCGAGACTTTGAAGCTCAGGGGGTAGACGATGGTGTAGAACCGATCCACACATATAGAGAGGAGCACGTATATCTGGACTCCAGGGGTGAGGTACTGCGTGTACCTTACCAGCTTGCACAGCACGTTCCCCAGCCTCCACCTGCCGTAGGTGAGCTGGAGCAGCACGAAGGGCGTGCTTGCAAAGCTGACGAGAAGGTCTGCACAAGCCATGGAGACCACAAAATAGTTGGTGGTGGACTGTGTCTTCCTGCTCCTGTGGATCACTAAGCAGACGAGGGAGTTTCCAAGGACGGAAACCAGCCACAACACTCCCAAAACCATGCTGGCTGCTGCCTTTTCCCCCGGCCGCAAGTGGTACTGCAGGACAGAGTGGTTCCTGCCTGAGCTGGGTCCGACGGGTGACTCCATCATCTCGTAGCCCACCGGAGGGACGGAAGGTTCGGGGTAGCTCTTGTTCTGCAGCAGGAGCAGTAAGGTAGGGAGAACGGAAGGACCGCTGCTGTTACCCATGCTGCGAGCAAACACGGCTGCATCTTTGGCTCAGGCTGCATAAAGGGAGAAGAGAAAAGGCTCTGTTTAACATGTACATGTGCAAAACCTACCCTGACCAACAAAAGAGAATTTGCAGCACTATACGTACTACTTAACGTAGTCGATTTGAGAGCAATGGTCAGAAATGCACGGTGAGACCGTCTGGCACAGCAGAGGCCCTGAAGTTGCGTGCAGATTTTTATTCGTGGCCTGACTGTTTTAGGACAGGCATTTCTGTCCTCTGAAAGGCAAACGGCCCTTTGCCTGAGAGAGACTGAGGATCAG